AAAAAGTACTCTAAACTGTATAAATAATATAAAATTAAATTGAATTTATTAGCCAATCAGACGAACTTCTGCCTATGTACTTACATCAGTTTCTGATTTCCTAGTATATCTATAATTATATAGTAGAGCTAAAATATAATTGTATAACCAAAATTCTATTAGGTGGTTAAAAAAACTATAATATAAAAAGCTTTTAAAAATATCTCAATTTATTAAAAAATAATAAAAATATATTTAAAACATTCCATAGTTAATATTTAATAAATAATTAGATACTATTTGCAAAAATATTCGTATTATATATAAGGTTTTTATAAAAAAAATCCTTATACTATTATATATTTAAATAAATTTTGTATAACCTTTATATTCTTTGCCTTTCTTTTTTTTATCTAAAAAAATTATTCAGTATTTGCAATCTTTTTGGCTGTAATGTTTCTAACAAAATTATTAATTAAACAACCTATTTTTGACAAATTTTCTACAATACAATGGTGACAAGATTCCCTTATATAAGATTCACATTTACTATCTTCAAAAATATTCACCAATTCCTTTCTTAATTGCAGTTCATATGTAAGTTCTTTCCAAAAGTCTATAGCATAACAAAAGTTCAAATAGTATAAATAATTAATTTCAATACTTTATAAAGAATATAATTTAAAAAATGAACCTGATATTTCTTTAATAAATTCTGGATTCAAAAGCTTAAATCTACTTCTTGCACACTCCAATTCAATAGTTAAATCATATAATAGTTTTAATCCAATTACAAGATATATTTCCTGATTTATTTTAAAAATAATAAAATAAAAAATGTATAAGTATAACGTTGTTTTTGGAAGTTTAATAATTCCTTATTTACCTTTTCATCAAGACTTTTAATGGAGGAAAATATATTGTTCAATTTGCCAGGTTTTTTACGTAACTTTTCTTTAACTTCAACGACTTTAGTCAACAACTCTTCTTGAATCTCAAAAAATAAAAGGTTATCTTTTATATTATTGTCGGCAATAAAATTACTAAGCTCATCGTAAAATTTGTTAAATCTGTTAGTAATTTCAATACAGCTATTAATCCATTTGGGCAAATATTCATCAATTCCACTAATTAATGAATTCATTTCATTCGAGCAAGTACTTTTTAAATTTTCTGATTTTAAACTGACAAAATTGACAAGAATATCATATGCTAAATTGATCATTTCATCAAAATCATCGCATTTCAGTGCCTTTTTATCAAAATCTTTAAAATATTCAAGTTGTTTATCAATTTTATTGCGATATTCCTTGACTTCTTTGAGTTCTAACTTTTCTGGTGTCTTATTCACATGGTCTATTGTTCTTTCCAACTGTTCTTGAAGATTTTTTGGTATTTCAAATTCTGTGGCTGCAATTATCACCTATAATACAACAAATAATTAGTTATATTACGTAAGATTTTGTCGGATTATCTTGAACATTATACACACATGCTGTAATGTAAAAAATTGTTAGTGCATCGACTAGTTTACGTATTTAATAAAGGTATATTTTTGGAATTTTATACTTACTCTCTGTAATTTGTATATTTGATAGAAGTAATATTTGATTTATTATGAAATTTTGTAAATATTGTTAGTATTCCTGATAAACTGTTTCGTAAACAATATCTAACGAAAATTTGGACAACAAAGCCATTGACGAATTGTAAATAATAATTATACAAATATTTTGTTATGACCAGCTATTAAGTTAATAATTAGGCTAATTGAATTGTTCTTAGCTTATTTTCTACTAGAGCAGAAAATTCTTCGATAGCCAAATTTTGAATTTAAGAATTTCCACTTTTGAAAAAATAAGTAGCCAAGAACAAAAGACTTTATTAACTGTTGATATCAAGCTGATAACTTTATAAAATACCGATTCCAACACTCTAGAATTTCACTAGAAGTATCTTCACAACCAGAGCTTCACTGGTAGTATCCTGATGTAAAGATCCCCTTATGTGGTTCTTAAATTTTTTAAAGTGCGTTACTTGACTGTTTGTAATCCTATCAAGGTTTTAACTCATCCCTAAACTTGAATTGATGACTATATTATTAGAAGTCTATGGGCAGTGTTGTACATTGGACAAAATTGGATATTTAGACACTTTGGATGGATGTTCAATCCAATGTCTAATCGTGGTTCTCAGACATTTTGATGATCAAATCATTGGATCTTGGGCATCCAATATCCAATCAAACATGAAAACACTGCCAATCCAATGTGTTATTTTTTGTTAAGCTAAGCTAATTAGTAATATTTTACTTAATTAAATTTGAGCATTGCCAAACATGGACAATTAAACATAATCCTACGCTCACGACCAAACTATGTTATAATAGTCTGTATTTAGCACTTACAGAAGATACAGATATCATTAATTGCTATTTATTTCGTTGTTCGCCATAGGTCTCGTTATTTATCAATTCGTCAATCAAAAATTGTGTCATGGCAAGCAACCCACAAGGTTCAGAAAAATATTTTCCCTTTGGTATTAGGCCATACAAACTTAATAAATCTGTCCTCATAACCCGGCCAGGTCAAATTTACAAAACTCTAAGAAAAAATTTCGAGTATACTTACTATGTGGGTGAGTTTTTTACAAGAAAATAAAATTAAAGACCGGTTGCCGGGTTACTTTTAAAATTTTTATGTTATGAGAACCGATTTATCAAGTTTGTATGAACTTAATATCAATGATTGAAAAATCTTAAATTTAGTGGCCGTGATCACAGGATCGACAATTTTTTTGTGGCATAACGATAATACTTGGTGATTTCGTTAGGCTTCAGGCATCATTAGTAATAATATCCTGATAGGCAGGAGCGACCGTTCAAATTCGTAGATTGTTACACAATTTTTTTTATATGGTTTACACTACTTCTAAAAGCTCGGGTAGCTTAGCTTTCTATGAAACGAGGGTAAATTTAACGGATGAATTAATGCTTTCACTTCGCTTTACAAAATATTCTCATAAATATCAACTTTTTTTTTTGCAACCTGATTGGCCGATTTACTAAAATTGGTTGTAACTATATCGGAATCATCTACGAATTTGAATGGTCGCTCCTGTTTATCTTGATCCATTGGGTATTAGCGGAAACGAAGTTTCCACTTGTACAAGTATGGATCAGGATATTATTAATTGTCGCGGGGGTCTCAATTTGAAAATATAAGTCCTACCCGTGATCTTGATATAGTGATTGGGATAAATTAAATTTATGCTTACATTCTGTATTTCATATATTAGTCGGAATTCGTGAAATTTAATATAAATTATTGAACTTTATACTCACTTCCTGTAATTTATTTATTTGACGGTATAATTATTTTCAAAATTCTGATCTAATAAATGAAGATTCATGAACTTTGTACCTACGTTCTGAATATTAATTAAAATGAGTTAGGTATTTTGTTAATTAATGATTTATAATAAATAATTATGCGTTAAAAAAAATTCATATTTACTTTCTGAGTTTACATAATCGGCCAGTATTATAAGTTTGTTATGAAGTTCTGATTTAATTATAGAAT